GTTTGAGGCAAGCAAAAAATACAGGATTCCATTATTCTTTGTCAATGAGGTATGTTAGGTTAAAAAATGAATGAAGGAAAAGTCATGCAATTTCATTTTGCTTTGTGATCTTATTTGTGCTTGTTCCTGAGGTGATTTACTGTCAGTTGCTGCTATGGTTGTCATGTCTGTGTTCACTTTTTGGAAAAGAGATTAAGATTATAATTATCGCTAGTATAAGAATGTCAATCTGCTTAATGTTTCATAGCCAGAAGAAGAAGTGAAAAAATAAAACAAGGAGATATTCTAAGTCATACCCAGAATATTTACCAATATTTGAGAGTAAATATTCGGATATTAACACTGAATCTGAAGGCCATGACTAATCTGTAATAGCACCATTATGCAGATTGGACATGATGGTGACCTGTGCAGTTGCATCTCTGACAGGCAGAGATGTCATAAATGAGACCGATGTAGGCGTTTATCATCTCAGCCTTTCTGTTGCGGAAGTCTAGGTTGATAAATAATGTTGATTGAACATCAAAGATGAAGCCGAACTTCGGAGCATTCTTTTTCCAAGTCCTCTGCAAGATACTCAAATTTGAGAAATAACTGTCCACGCATTCAAAAGGTATACTTAGGTGCCATGTATGTAAGCAATAGAAACCTCAATGGGACACACAAGTCTTGAATGTGAAGATGGCGCTGTGCCCAGTCTCTGAATGACGGGAAGGGCCAGAAGAGTGATCTCAGGAAGATGTCATGTGTGAAGGCAGAGAGCTGGCGTGAACTCATGGATGGGGAGGAAAGAGAGAGGCCTCAGTCACAGTTCACGACTGGGCAGGGCCCTGGAGACAGAGACACCATTCAAGGTGGCTGACGTAATGTCTTCAGAGAATCTTTTCCTATGTTGGGGGAATTGGGGTCTGCTTGTAAGGGCCATTTTCAGTAGCTCAGTAGTAGGATTCATTGCCAGAGCTTCTTGCCAAGAAACCATTGGTTAATAGAAGAAGTTATCTCCGGGGAGTTAATAAACAACAGTGCCTATTAGTGTGGAAGTGGTTTTGGCACCAAGCATTTTGAATAATTAAAGCATTGCCTCAGCCTTGGAGACCAAGAGACCATGTTGGAAGGAGATATTGACCACAGTTTGCCATGAACCTCAAGGGATGAACTTTTCCCTTCTCTGCCTCGTGAGCCAAAGGTGGGGGCTGGAGTCCAAGGCATCTGTAACTAAGGCTGGTCTAAAGAATATGTCATTGTTATTACCTCAATAAAGCTCATGATCCCAAGAAATTACACCTTGGAGAAATACTTTGAATATGCATGTAAAAGTCTATACATCAGCAAATAAATCATACTGGATTTTTTAAATTGAAGACTTTATTATTTATTTATTTGTTTGTTTGTTTATTTTTAGCAGGTTTTGGTTTAGCAGCAAAATTGAGAGGAAGATATGGAGATTTATTGAATAACCCCTGTCTCCACACATTCACAGCTTCCCTCCCACCAACGTCCCCCAGCAGAATGGTACATTTGTTGCACTTGGCGAAACAGCATTGATACATCATAATCACCCAAAGTCCATAGTTTACCTTGGAGTTTTCTCTTGATGTACTTTCTATGGGTTTGGACAAATGTCTAACAACATGCATCCATAATTATAGTATCCTATAAAGTGTTTTCACTGTCCTAAAAATACTCTATGCTCCACTTATTCATCTATACCCACTCCCATCTACATATTGACTTTTTAAGTTGTAAAATAGGATGAAGGTAAATCTTTCATTAGGCCACATTTTTGAGTTCTTCATTCTTAAGGAAGTTTTTATAGGCTAAAGTACCTGCAAACAATTTTCCACTAGAAGGTACCAGGTCCACTAGGACTGAAGATTCTGGAAGTTCATCTATTTATAGAGCTCTGTAACAAATCAAATAAATAAAGATGATGCAACTCATTATCAGTTTCCAAACAGAAGATTTTATTTTACTTGGCTAATTTTTGGAGCCTAGGCTAAATTCTGGAAAACTGAGAACTTTGTGATATCATGCAATACTCTAAGATCCTTTATTATCATGCCTGTCCTAACCTCTGCAAGTCACCTTTAATTAATATAGGTATGTAGGAGTAGATGGAAATATTTTTATAAATATGCTTTTCATTAATAGAAGTATAATCATAAACCTCAAATCTAACTTTCTAGATCAAATTTTAATAATGTTTAATAATTAAGGGAAGTCTTTCTGGTTCAAAGAAACTCTATTCTCTTTAAAGACCACACATCTATTTTAGTGTTCAAAAATTTTTACTCCAAATATGACAGCTAAACTGGCTAAGAATTGAAACTCTGGTTTCAGGCCTCACACTGCCTTCCCTGGATTGCGCTTGAAAATAAAATACAAGAACTAAGAAACAGTTTGTCTCCTAATGGATAAAAGGGCAACTTGAGGCACCGTGAGGGGAGCAGAGTGGTTTCTTGGTAATTCAATTCCTCTTTTACCAAAGACACTGTTGTTTCTTCTTTCTGTTCTCTGTCATCCAGTCATTTGAATTTTCCTTATTCCCAAATATTTTTGGTCATCCTGAGGCACCTAATAGCTCTAAATCTTTGTTTGTATTTGGTTACTGAGTGTGAGGAGGGGCTAACTTCCCCTTCTGTAGGCTAACTGGATAAACCCAAAGTTAAATTTACTACATCATCTGGAATGTTTCTGATTAGTGAAGGAAGGGAAACGTTGGGGAACTTAGAGGGGTGTCATATTACAAAATAATCCAACATGATTTAAAAATATATTTCCATATGTCTTATGACTACATTATTCCTACTTCTTCTGAGAAAAAGAACAGAAAAAAAGAATAATATTTTTTTAAAAGTTTACTGTTACTATAGTAAATAAATAGAATGAAAACGAGCTTTGGAATAAAAAAAATCCTTTGAACTCAACCAATGTTTTATGAACACCAGGTATATGAAAAGCTAGCATTGTGTGGGGAGAGAATGTACCTCATGTCCTAAGGTTTGTTGAAGTTTTTTGAGATGACAGAGGGTAGATCACAGATGCTTTCCATGTATGGCAGCCGAGCGAGATAAGTCCTCATTATGGGTATTAAAAGTTGGAAGAGATTATGCTTGGTTAGAAATTAGAGAAAATGTTAATAAAGATAGTGACCCTGACATAGCTTCTGAGGAATGCCACCTATCTATCTCCAAGTGACAGCTTTATATAGTGTCGTGTATCACAGTATAGAATTACCACCCTTTACATGTTGCTAACATGATAAGACTATAACTTGCGGTTGACACATATCTGACATTTAGTTCGAAAAGCTGAATAACTACTTCTAATGGAAAGTTCAGGGGAAACATGACAATGTAGAGGTTAAAAACTATACAATGAAGGTGAAAGGTAATGTGTCACATATGTGTGAGGGAGTTTACATCATTCTTTAATTGAGACTTTTGAGAGATAAAGAATCTTGGTACAATCTATTAACTTTTCCTCAGAGAATGGTACATTTTGCATTTAATAAAATGGGATTCTCCCAAGGATAGACATCTAGTCTAACTGAATCAGAGAGAATTGGGTAGGTTAAGAGTGAGTCCTTAAAGAAAGCAACAATTCTCACTGTGGCCTCTGCAATAAAATCGATTTTAGGAAGGAAAGATCCGCCCAACACTCTGTGTCCCACCTTCACGTATTCTTCAGCTTCTTCCATCTGCTTTTCTTTCAGCTCTTCTCCGTTACCTCCCAAAGAGACAAATTGCCTGTTTATTATTGTTTTGACAAATTTAGCCGTTTTAAAGTTGACTGAACTTGTTTGAGAAGTTGAGGTAAGTACAGCAATTATTAGAAGATGTGCTAGTGTGGTTTTTTGTCTTCAGATCATTGTTACTCGGTGTGTGTGTGCGTATGTGTGTGTGTGTGTGTGTGTGTGTGTTTGTATGTGTACGATTCCTTTCAGAACACAATGACAAATGATGTTAACACACCTCTGGAAAAAGTGGACATGTGGTCATTCACAGAGACACACAAAAATGCGCATCGATATCAGAAGGATATGAAAAATTTCAGGGCTCTCTTTGCATTCTTTAAAGGCTAAGGATTCATGTAAAAATGTCAAATGCTTAAGATAATCATTTCTGTGAGTGTCAGAGTTTCAAAATCTTCCATGGTCATGTGGTGCTATTTAGAGTGCAACATCTTTTACACCAGGTTGTGGAGCTGATTTACTAAGTTATTTAAATATGATCTCAGGTTTTTCCCCCTGGATTTATAAATTGGGAACATGTTTGTCTGTCTACCATGCATAGTATATGGAAGGCTCCAGTAGATTAATGATGTGAATGTGTTTAGTAACCGGTCTAGTTCTAAAACAATCAGATAAATGTGATATTTTAAGAGGTAATAGAGAAAGTTCAGTTTTTAAATATTTTATTAAATTCATTGGAGTGACATTGGTAAATAATACTATATATGTATTTTTATACACATATATATTTCAAGTACACAATTCAATAATAAAACACTCTAAGCACCTATATTGAACAAAGCATTGGGTTTGGGTCTATCGAGAATAAAATCCTGAGAACAGGTAGTGTTCAAGATTCCTATTCCAAAAATGAAGCTAAAAGAAACACACATACAACTAAATTTAAGCTAGTATGTAATATTATAAGAAAAGCTACAAAGGAAAGTTTTAGAAAAGGGGAGAAAAAATTCGTTTATCACAAAGCAATCGCTAAAGGCTGACAGGGGAGACTTGTGTTTGAAGAATGCTGTTAGGAACATGTAACATTCACAAGCTTGTCTGAGACCTATAAAGACCCTATGATGTGGTCATGACAAATTCAGGAACACAGAGATGAGATGACATATTAAGAAACCACAGCTAAAATGAGGAATGTTTATTTTTCTGAAAATATTTCATAGAATCACCTATCGCACCATGAATTAATTCCTTTATTTTTTGCAGATAAACCATTGCACACTCACTCCTTCTCCTCATTCATGAAATCATGCAGCTGAATAATAATGTGACTGAGTTCATTCTGCTTGGGTTGACCCAGGATCCTCTTAGGAAGAAAATAGTGTTCATCATTTATTTGCTTTTCTATTTGGGGACATTGCTGGGTAACTTTCTGATTATTACCACTATCAAGATTAGTCAGACACTTGAGAGTCCAATGTACTTCTTCCTTTTCCATTTATCCTTATCTGAAACCTGCTTCTCTACTTCCATAGCACCTAGAATGATTGTGGATGCCCTTTTGAAGAATGCCACTATCTCTTTCAGTGAGTGCATAGTCCAAGTGTTTTCATTCCACTTCTTTGGCTGCCTGGAGATCTTCATCCTGATCCTCATGGCCCTTGATCGCTACGTGGCCATCTGTAAGCCCCTGCATTACATGACCATCATGAGCCGACGGGTCTGTGGTATGTTGGTGGCTGTGGCCTGGGTGGGGGCCTGCGTGCATTCTTTAGCTCAGATTTTTCTGGCCTTGAGTTTACCCTTCTGTGGTCCTAATGTAATTGATCACTATTTTTGTGACTTGCAGCCTTTGTTGCAACTTGCTTGTGCAAACACCTACATAATCAATCTACTCTTGGTGTCCAACAGTGGGGCCGTCTGTTCACTGAGTTTTGTCATCTTGATGTTCTCCTATGTTGTCATTTTGTATTCTCTGAGAAACCACAGTGCTGAAGGGAGGAGAAAAGCCCTCTTAACGTGCACCTCCCACATCATCGTGGTCATCTTGTTGTTTGGTCCTTGTACATTTATATACACACGCCCTGCAACCACTTTCTCCATGGATAAGTTTATAGCTGTGTTTTATACCCTTGGAACACCTTTGCTGAACCCTCTGATTTATACGCTGAGGAACGCAGAAGTGAAGAGTGCCATGAAGAAGTTATGGAGCAAGAATTCGATCTCAGATGACAGATAATAAATGGAAGTTCAAAAATTTTCGTCTTAGTTTGGATTAATCTAGAAGATGTCCATAGAGGATATTACCTTTTAATTTTTTTTTTTTATTGTGGAGTTACTATAATCTTAACTCGGGGCATAAGAATTAGTTTCATCAGGAAAATAAGCAATGGGAACATAAACACCGGGTAGTGTTGAGTCAGTTTTCTGTAGAAAAAGAAACAGTACCAGAC